GTGGGGGGAATAGAACCCTAGATGAGGTGAACTGAGTAGGAACCCTGGATGGGGTAAACCAGAGTCACACTGCACAGGCAAAGCTTCTTGCCATGTGCCCATCACCTCCGGTTTGCGTATTCTGTGTTCTCTCTTTCTTCCGTATTGTCTAGTTCTCCATTTCTCCCCACGGGTGTTGCCTCTCTGCCTTCCATTCTTGTTTCCTCTTGTGTCTGTCCTCATCTGTTTCTTCCTTTCCCATTCTCCATCTCTTTCTTCTCTCTGTCTTCCCTAGCTACAGAAGGCCATCGAGGGCCACACCAAATCTGGGGTGCAGCTGCGCCCTCCCCTTGCCAGCTTCAGGAGTACAACTTCAACCCGGAAGAGACCTGGGGGGGCCCCTCCTCCTGCAGAGGGCTGGAGCCGGCCACAGCATGGTCCTGGATCCCTTGAAGCAGAGGATGAGGCTCCTGCCTCCTCAGAGACTCCTGTGCCACCCCCTTCCCCAGAGCCCCCTCGGCCCTCGGCCCCACCCAAGGCAGAGGGTGAGCTGGAGGAGCTAGAGCTGGTAGAGAGCCCAGGGCCCGAAGAGGAGCTGGCTGACATCTTGCAGGGCCCCAGTCTGCGATCCACTGATGAAGAAGATGAGGACGAACTAATCCTATGACCACCAACCACTTCCTGGGCCCTCTGCATGAGGTCTTTAGGGCCCAACCCAAAGGGTAGACTGGTGTGCGGCGGAGCATCCTGGACTTGGGGAGCTTACACTCTATCTTGCCCTTCCCAGGGATCGTTAATTTGAGAGTGATCGTCGTAAAGGAGACATTTTGGGCAGGGAGGGGTCCCCACAGAGAGTGGTTTTAATGCAGGTGAAAGGTTAGCCCCCTGGTGTCCTGTGGGGCTCTCTGGCTTTTCTTGCTGTGTAGATGGGGTCGGTCCCCAGGGCTCTTGTCCCAATGCCACTCTGGCCCAGCTACCCTTCAGTTTCATCGGGACAGGGGCGAGGGGAGGTCCAGAATGCCTGTGGCCCTGCGAATGCTCCACTGGGGAGAAATGTGGGACCACGTGCGCCTCCTTGCTGTTCACAGTGGCTTCTCTGGGACCCCCAGACCTCCTGTCTACCTGTGCCCCTTCTATGTATTCTATCCTGACTGTCCCAGGCCAGGCCCATTGCTAGGGCAGCAAAGGCCTACTGCCTGCCCCAGCCTCTGGCCTGGGCTTCAAGCACTGAAATGTGGATTAAACGACTGTCAAGGGCTGAGGCCCAGAAAAGACAAGGTTCCTGAAGGCTCCACAAGGAAGGCGCAGGTGTCTGAGGGCCAAACAATAATGGCCTCATGCCACTGACTGACTCCCTCTAGCAAAAGGACCTCCTGCTGCCCATCACAGATTCGTGCCCCCCACCCCCCCCCCGTATTTCCAGCTAGTCACAAGATCACGCATCTTCCCTTTCCCCACGACAGTGACCCACTTGGCACCATTGGAACGGTGGCAGCTCCTGTCAAGAAGCAAGGCTCCGCAAGGGCAGGGGTCACTCCGACCCGAGGCCCTCCTAGAGGAGCTCCTCGGTGCTGCTGGGGTGGAGAATTGGGGGCTCCCTTGGGAAGGCAGACGTGGGGCAGTCACACCCTTGTCCAGTGGTGGTGGTCCATGCCATTAGCTTGTCTTCCACAGGAAAAAGAGGGCCACATGTTCTGAGCCTCTGTAGTACCCAGCTCCACATGCCAGGCCTCATTTTTGGGGGGTGGGGATGGGGAAGACTTGAACTCAGGGCCTGGGCACTGTCCCTGAGCTTTAGTGCTCAAGCCTAGTGCTCTACCACTTCAAGCCACAGTGGCACCTCTGGTCTCATGAGCCTCTTTACCAGGCTGGCTTTGAATCATGATCCTCAGATCTCAGCCTCCTGAGTAACCAAGATTACAGGCATGAGCCACCAGTGCCCAGCAACACACCCCAGCCTTTTATTTCTCCTCCTTTGGATGTCTGTCTTATTTAGTTCTGCAGTTGTGCTTTCTGTTTAGCATTCTTAGCCTGCTCCTGCCCCGTACCCTGTGTCCTCTTACCACCCTCTCCACCATAATCCCCCCACCCCAGGGCCAAAAACAAGACCCCCACCCTCTCCACCATAATCCCCCCACCCCAGGGCCAAAAACAAGACACTCACAGCCAGAGGATGCCACCACATTCTGTTTAGTGTCATTGAACACAGCCTCTGGCCCTTTCCAGCATCATCCCCTCCACCTCCCCAGGCTAAGAGATGCTGAGGCCTGGGCAGGATTGGCAGTGAGCATCCAAGCCCGTGCCCACGTGTATATAATCTATAATATTTATATATATTTATATAGAATTCTCTCTGTAATATATGTCATAGAATCTCTCTCGGGCCTGGGGTGGGAATGTCACATTAAGAAAACATGCTAAGACTGGCCATAAAAAATGGCTATTTCTCAGACCTGGAAGACAGAATGTGGGATAGGCAGGTGGGGCAAGAAGAAGGTAAGGAACTCATCCACCAAGAGTTCCTCCTTAATAAATACCAGGATGAGGGAGGGGGCAGGGGGCTGGGAGGGAAGGAATGGAAGTTTGAATTTTCATTTAATAAAGTCAATTGAAAATGAAAGTGCACCCCCCCCAAAAAATCATTTAGCAAGAGCAGTGTCATTCATGAGAACATAAAAACAGCCCTGCTCTAGAGCTGCTGTAAAACGTGCTGCACAGCCTCAAATCCCAAAGGAAAAGCAACCCTTCCCACCCACCCCTAACAGCTTCTTCCTGCACATGCCCCCACCCTTCCCCTTAAAATAGGCTAGAAGCAAACCCCCATGCACCCTGCCCCAGCACCAGAGAGGTGGTCCCTTCCTCTAGAAGAGTTCAAGTGGTCCTGGCTTGTTTCCCAGGGTCTTTTGTCTCTGAGTGGGGTGGAATGCCTAGCTAAAGGCAGACCCCCACCTGACCTCTCTCTGCGCCTAGCACCAGTAGCTGGGGAAGCCACGCCCCTGCTCAGGTGTGATCCCAACTCATCTGCTTCAGGTCTTTAGTCCTCTTGCATCAGGGACCATTTGGCTTCCTTGAGAAAGGGAAGGAGGAAAGAAAGCTAGTCTATCCTTCCTAACTCCCTAGGGCCCTGAGCAAATGCGAACTGTAAGGAATGAACCCACTCACTGGACTACACATCCACTGTGATCTGGAGAAGAAACGTGGAGCACTGAGGAGATGAGAGACAAAGAGAAGATTTTACCTTGACACAATGGGCTGGACAAGGAGAGGAAGCAGACCCCCTGGGAGGAGGGCAGCCTGAGCATGCAAAACCCCAGGGGCCTGTGGTAGGAGACTGGGGCCAGAGACAGTTGCCAGGGTGGGCGGGCTAGCCCTTCCCCCGACGTCTTAGAAATAAGGCCCTGGTATGCAGAATCACGACACAATAGCAAACAAGAGGTATCTTCTTCTGTTGGGGCAGCATTAGATGAGGTAAGTGACTGTTTACCTACCTTGCCTTGTCACCTGTTCTCCAGAATCCCCCCAATAGTGTTCCCAGGTTCATCCCACTGTCCCCTCCTCCCACCGGAGGACACAGGACACCTGCTTGGGTTGCACTTGAGGAGGGAGTGGATGAGAATAGGAAGCTGATGGACAGGAACAGTCCCATCTCTCAGCTTCCTTCCAAAGCCATGGACAGGCTTGGCAGAGGGGAGTCGCTTAGGATTCCTGACAGTGTATGGGACATGAGGCCTTGGAACTGGAGCCTTGGACAGACGAAAGGAAAGAGGGAAACAGGGTCGTGAGCCTTAGGCTCTACCTTGAGGACCAGGAGGAGGCTGCCACTGCAGCAGAAGGGGTGAAATGTCCCCAGCTTCACTCTCCAGCCCCCTGCCCTCACAGAAGTGCTGGGCTGACTTGCCGCTCCTGAACTCCATGTTCCACCCCAAATAAGAATGGAGGCTGGGCGTGGGCAGACCTGCGCATGCCCCACAGCCAGCTGTCCTACCAGGAAGAACAGGATGAGTCTCCCTGCTTCTCCCACAGGGAGCTGACAAAGGGCAGAAGAAACTAGTGCCCACCCTGCAAATCCCAGCTCCCAGCCCAGCCCCACCAAGGTGGTGACAGCACCAGACTTCCCCCCTCCACCCTGCTCAACCCTGAGTCCCCCAAGAAGTTATAAAAATGTAGAAAAGGCAAAGAGAAAAGTGTAAACAGCTCCAGAGAATTAGGGATGGGGGGGCCCAACCTCATGCTCCCCCTCTGGTGGGGACACAGCATCCTGTGTCAACATAGCTGAGAACTTGTCCCCACACCCACCCACCCCCCTAGGGGGCCAGGCCTGGGCTCCTGGAGCAAGGGAGGGAAGGAGGTGGGAAGGAGGGCAGCGCTGGGCTGCCAGCCCTGCTGGGTCTCTTCCCAGATCCTTGGGATCCTCCTTGCAGCCATGGGATATTCAAGATCCCAGAACAAGTGGCCATGTTTGTTTCTCGATCTCCTCAATGGCCTTGTTGTCTCTGGGCAGGCCTTCAGACAAAGAATCATGCTTGTGGCCCTTGTAAGTCACAGCTAATGCCAAGATAACTTCCTCCCTGGCTCCTGCTAGCAGAAGCCAAATCACCCGCAGAGTGCAGGCTTTCCACTGTGGATGCAGCCCTGCCCGTCAAGCCACTTCCGAGCGCTTGCCAAACCGTGTTCCACAGCCCCCGAGGTCTGCTTCTCACAGTGGGAATGAGCTGGGGCCATGGCCAGAGAAAACAGAGTCGAAAAAGCAAGAGTGAAATGGAGAAAGGAGGCATTCAGACAGCACAGCCAAGGCTCCTGAAAGACGAAATCAGGGGATGAAGAACTGAGATCCAGTCTCCAGCACAGCCGTGCCTGGACACAGACCCAGGAGTCCACAGCCACCACTTCTCCCACTCGCCAGGGGTGCAGCCATCTCCTCGCGGGGGGGTCTCGGCTCCTAGACCCATGGTTTCTGCGTGTAAGCCTAGATCAACCCCCCTGCGGGTTCCTCCACTTTCTGGGCTGAAAGCTCTAGGTATCCCGTTGTCTTCTGCCCCGGGGTTCAGCCCTGCTGCTGGGGCAAGGGAGGGTGTAGGTTGCAGCCATGCCCCTCAGGAGGGAGTAGGGTACAAAGAAGCTAGTTGTTGGCCTCCCCCTCCTCCTCATCAAATGACTGCACACCCGAGGAGGTGACGTCAGACACCTTCCGGCTAAGAGCAGTGGACATTTCAGGGTCTTCTCGCGGAGAAAGAGATTCCAGGTCCCGACATCCTGCATCCTCTTCCTCCTCAGTGGCCAGAGGCCTCTTCTCCTCCTCCACAGGGCCCCCTCTGGCCAGGTCCACCCCACCCAGCCCTGGGGCCCAGTCAGTGTCCCCCACCAGCAAAGGCGGAGGCTCCTGAGCAGAGTATCCTGATGCAGGCTGGGAAGGCCCCATGTCATGCAGGCTGGGCTGTGAGTCATCAAATGCAGGGCCAAGATAGGATCCTGTGGCTGGAGAGGCAATGAGGGACTGGTCGCTGGCTTCCCAGGCATCTGAGGACCCCAGACAGTACATGCCCTGGGATACGTAGGAGTGAGGCCAGCCATCCATGGGGGCTTGAGCCAGGGCATCTGTGAAGAGAATGAGGAAGGTAGGAGGGAGTCATAAGCTATCACGGTACCCAGAGCCCATAGAATGGAGGCCAAGACACAGGGAGAACATTGGGAAGCTGAGAAAAACAGTCCTAAAAGACAGAGAGGAGTAGCAGTCGCCCACATAGTTAGGAAGCCTCAGGCCCCAAGGGTTGAAGTGTGGAGCCATCTCTCACCCTGACTCTCCATCAGCTCCTGATAGTTGTCGCTGTAGTTGCAGCCTAGTGGCTCCTGGGTGGAGTTGACACTCAGATCCTCACCATCCATAGAAGACCAGGCCATGAGCGTGGCCTCAGAAATAGCAAACTGCTCCATGACACCTAAGAGAAGAAATGCAGTCACCACAAGATTCCTCCAAGGGGTATGGAAACACACTAGTGCAAGACTGTTCAATAGAAATAGAATGCATGCCACTTAGATCATTGTAAACTTCCTAGTAGCCAGACTTCAGAAGATTTAGAGGGCTGGGTACAGAGGCTCATGCCTCTAATCCTAGACATTGGGAAGGTAATAGTTTGAAAAAAAAGAAATATATAAGACCCTTTTTAACAAATAAACTGCATATGGTGGTTCAAGTCTGTAATCGCAGGCAAAAGTAGTAAGACCCCTCCACTCTCCCCACCCTTGCCAGGTATTGGAGGTTCATGCCTATAATCTTAGCTACTCAGGAGATGGAGATCTAAGGATCAGGGTTTGAAGTTCTGAAAATATTATATCCAATTATCCACCAAAAAGCTGGAAGTGGAGCTGTGGCTCAAGGGTAGAGTGCTAGCTTTCAGTGAAAAATGATCAGGGACAGAACCCATGCCCTGATTTTAAGCCCCAGTACCAGTCAAAACAAAACAAAAAAATGTGAGATGCTCCCATCGAAATAATAACTTGAAGCAAAAGGACTGGAAATTTGGCTTAAGAGGCAGAGTAGTTGCTTATAAAGTACAATGGGGAGTTCAAACTCCCGTAATGCCAAAAGAATAAATAAATGAATAAATAATAAAGTACAATTAATTTTTTTAAATGGATCATAGCTATTTACCTCAGTATACATAAAAGATTATCATGTCAACATATAACCACTACATTTGAAATCAGGCAAGTATTCAACACAGCCCATCTCTCTGGGAGGAGGCTCAAATTCTCAATGGCCACAGGGGACCAGGGTTACTGGACAGCCTAGCTTTTGTTTATGGTTGAGACAAGGCAAAACCATGGGGCACTTTCCAGAAGGTCAGACTGGATTCCTAGAGGAAAGAGTTGGGAAACTTCTGTGAGGTATCCTAAGGAACTGAAGTCAGAGACTTCTAGACGTTTGGAGGCTTTTTAGGAATTGAGCCTACTACTGGAGGAGAGCAGAGGAATCCGTATGTAGATCCACAGAAGGATCCTTAAGAGATTCCTAGATTTATAGAGATCAAATCAAAAGCTCCAGGGATAGAAAGCAAAAAGGGATAAGTTGAAGCTGAAGTTGCTATTGGTCTTGCTACTCCTCATGTGCCTGCTGCCCTGCTGCCATTTCCTCCACTACCCAAACCAGACTTACCCTCCCTGCCAGGCCTACCTGTCCCTCTTCCTAGCTATCTTACTGAGATCTGCTGCCAGCATTCAGCCTCCCTTATTGGTACTCCACAGGCCTGCCATCGAACCTAGAGTTCAACCTCTTCTGTAGCACACCATCTCCACGTTCCCTTGATCTCCAGTGGTTGACACAGCAATGAAACCAGTGAGCGAATTCACGGCAGCAGGTGCCAAGGGGCAAGGCTAGAGGAAACCCCACTGTCTTTCTTTCACTTCTAGAAACATCTAGAAACATGGGTAGAAGCAGAGCCTTTTAAAGCCATGCCTTCTATGCTCCTAGGACAGGCCCACACAGTAGCCAAGAAAAGCATCTGGAATTGGTAGCCTTGAAAAAAATAAGCCCTATTATTTAATTTTCTGAAGTGGTGATTGCATCTCACAGAATGAACAAGTGAAAATGCTTGAAAATGAGGGTTCTTAGGCTATGCAAGCCTCTGTGTGAAGGTGGAGAAGGCCAGTCCTTCCACAAGGGAGCCCACTGAAGGGCCAGTGTCTGACCACCCTCAAAATGAATCTCTTCAGGACTTGGGCACAAGTACCTGCTAGGAAACGTGCCTCCTTCTCGCCGTCGCTGAGATCGGAGTAGGCGTCCGTATCCCTGCGCACGGCCTCGTGGCTGTGCTGTGGCTGAATCGCTGGGGCCTTCCCCCAGCCCTGCCACTCAATCATGTGGGCCACTCGGCCCTGTCCCATGGCTGTGGGCTTTGTCACGTGGTCCTTCATACTCCTCGAGATCCCTAAGGGGCCAGACACACCCACAGCCTCCAGATTAACACTCAGTACCCATAACAGATCCCACCCCATCCTCCCCCTCCCAGCTCCCCTTGGAGCTCCCTCCCATTGAGGGGGAGACAGCCTCCACAGAAGGAGCAGATAAGCCTGGGCTGTGGAGCCTGAGGAGCCATGAGACTAAAACCAGAAGCCTGTTGGTAGTTCCCATCTGGATGCAGCTCACCTGAGAACGAGGACTTGGCCAGGGCTCCAATGCCATAGGCATTAGAGTTCCTCTTAAGCTTGGGAAGAATGGAAGTGGTGTCCTCCATGGACAGCTAGGGAGAGAGGCAGTGGAGTAAGAAGATCTGGGGTGCCTTATAGATGGCAAAGAATTCATAGCTTCCGGGAAGAAGAACACAAACCAGGGCAGGTGCAAAGAAAAACCACAATACCAACATCCTAAGTAGGTATCTGTTCCACCTGCCCTGGAGGCTAGGCAGAGCACAGTGCCTGCTGCTGACAGGCAATGCTGGGTGGCATAGCGTCCCGGGGAGAGGGAGGAAGAGGAATGGATCAGGAGGGCCGAGTCAGCACTTACATTGATGCCGTCCCAGGAGAAATCTGTCCTCGTTTGCTGTAAGAGAGAAAAAAGGGAATGGTATCCCAGAGTCCTCCAGAAGAACCTCAACCCCACCTTCCTCAGAGGGGACCGCCAGAAGTGTGCCAGGCGACGCAGGCTTTCCTGAGAACCTCCGTGTGCACCGTGGGGTGTGGATTTCCAGGAAAAGCCAGGAGGAACGTTATATAAAAGGATCCGTCTGAAGGAGTGTTTGGAAAGGTGCCGTGGAAGGTAAGGAAGATCAGGCAGCTAGAGCCTTCGAAGTTTTTTGTTCCTGGTGGTTCCTGGGTCTCAGATGCGCTTTGGCAAAGGGTAGGGGGAGCTGAGCAGAGAGCCTCACCTCGGTAGAAGGCCGGTGGAGGCTGCTCCCATGCAGAGAGCTGGTGCTGTCCATGTTGATCTGATCCACATCCTTTAGGCCTTTCCAGTCCACTGCAATCACCTCGTTCCCTGAAGTAGACACAAGATTCCTTGCTGCTTCTCATCCCCCTGGGTCTTCCCTATAGGATGTTGAAGCCAGCCACACTCCGTACCTTCCTTCTCTCGGCTGCCACATTCCTCTGATTACCCATTTCCTACAATATTACTACTGTCTCCAAATTCTGGGTGAGGAAAATTAATCATGCTGAGCCAAAACATTGGGTCTTAGCTTAACTGAGAATAACACGTGCACCTCCGAAGTATTTCCTGGCCTGGCCTTCCATTTTGTTGCTCGTTATCTTGGGTAGGAGAGGTGGGCAGGCAGAGGTTGGGTCCCGAAAAATCTTTTCTGGTTTCTTTATGGGTCTGGGCTTTTTGCCAATATCAGTTCTACAAACAAGACTTCTCTGTGCCCAGGCTTCATCTTGTTTGGGAGGGGTGAACGCCTTGCCAAGACCTTGGTGGTGATAGAGTCAGGAGGGAGGGGACAAGGAGTTGAGTCTGCTCCCATGAAACAGTGAGAGCAGAGGAAAGGGTCAGATGGAGACACTGAACCCAACTTAAATGAAAGATGGGGGAATGGAGAGAGAGAAAGGAAACCAGAGGACTTGGCAAAGGAAGAGTTACAAGAACAGGACTTTAAACATAGAAAGAGAAGACAGAAGACAATGAGAAGAATAAAAAGGACTGACCAAGAGCTGGGCACCGGTGGTTCACGCGTGTAACCCTAGCTACCAAGATGGCTGAGATGTGAGGATCTCGGTTCAAAGCCAGCTGGAGCAGGAAAGTCTGTGAGACTCTTATATCCAATGAACCACTAGAAAACCAGAAGTGGTGCTGTGGCTCAAGTGGTAGACCGCTTGCCTTGAGTTGAAGAGCCCAGGAACAGTGCCCAAGCTCAAAGTTCAAGTCCCACCACCGACAAAAAAGTGGGGGGGGGGAACTACCAGAAAAGCAAGAGGTCAGGAGAGAGACTCCCTGCCTGAACATGGGGTGCTTGCTACTCACAGAAATCTGGAGAAGAACTTCTTGGGTAGATACAGAATTCACAGATCAAATGACTATGTCCTTTGCCCTTACAGACTCTCACCACACCTGAAGCTTTGTGATGCTAAGTTTGGGGTTACAGGTTCTCCTTGGAAGGGGTGCACTACATGGGGTGCCAGGGCAGGAAAGACAATCCAATCTGGAACAACATAGCAGGTGCAAAAGGAAGGAGGGGGTGGTAGTTCATGGCACGTAGGGTTAGGACCATCAGAGGTGATCCACTCTCATTTAGAGCCCTAAGACATGCATAGACGGACGGGCCAAGGGCCTGAGGCTCGGGCAGGAGGTAAGGACCTCATTAGGACAGCAGAAATCGGGCACGCAGGGAACCATCTCTGAGAAGAGGAGAGGAGAGGGGAGGTGGCCCTCGAGGAAGACAAGAGCTGAGTCAGAGCCCTGGGGGGCAGAGAGGGGGAGGAAAAGAGAAGGGGGGCGGAGAAGGAAGGGGAGGGGTCTCCATGGAAATACGCGGAGACTCAGAAATTAGGCTTCCTGAGGGTGAGTTTGTTTGCAATAATAACACGAATTATTCTCTCAGCCTGAGGTCACCAGGGCGTGTAGGAGGGAGAAAGGGAGAGTTCAGGAGGGAAAATGGGGGGGGGGGTTCATCTAAGCCGAAAGTGTAGCGGGTGCGTAGGGTGGGGGAGCAGGGGGCGGCGAGGCCGCGGCCACCGGGAGCTGGCGGCTGAGAAACCTCAGCGCCCGGCTCGGCGGAGGTAAATACAGAGCCGGCCCCGCCCCGCCCGCCTCCCGGGCAGGTGCGGGCGGACTCGGGGTTCCCAGGCGACGCCCCACCCTTCAGCCAAGCCAGACTCCAGACCCCAGCCCGCGTTCTGACCCCGCTCCCCCGGCCTCTCCCCACCCCCCAGGAGTGCACGGTCCCCCAGCTGCGGGGTCCGTCTCCCCGCGGCCCCGGGCGCAACCCGCCCCCGCCCCGGAGGGAACGTGCACGTGAACAAAGCCGCTCGGGGGAGGCGCGACCGGCACGGAAAGGCCACGGGAGGGGGAGAGGGGGGCGAAGCACCCAGGCCAGGGGGGGCGGGAGGTGGAGGGGGCGCAATGGGGCGAGGGGGTCTCAGAAGAGGGGCGCTCCAGAAACAGGGGCGGGGAGGGGGAAAGGAAGCGCAGGGCACCGCGGAGCACAGGCGGCGGCCTGGAGGCAGAGGGTGGGGAGGGTCGGGAGTAGGGCGGGCGGGCGGCCGGGGATCGGAGGGGGGCGGCTGGGCCGATGGTTGGCGAGGAGAGGGGCCGAGCCTGTGGGCGAGCGGTGGGGAGAAGGGAAGGACCGGGAGATGGGGAGCGGGGAAAATCGGAGGGATGGAGGGAAGGACTGGGGAGATGGAGAGAAGGGAAGGACCGGAGGATGGAGGGAAGGAAGGACCGGTGGGATGGAGGGAAGGGAAGGACCAGGGAGATGGGGAGCGGGGAAAGATCGGAGGGATGGAGGGAAGGAAGGACCGGAGGATGGAGGGAAGGAAGGACCGGAGGGATGGAGGGAAGGGAAGGACCGGAGGGATGGAGGGAAGGAAGGACCGGAGGGATGGAGGGAAGGGAAGGGCCGGAGCGCTGCAGCCGGGGCAGGGAGGGAGGATGCGAGGCCCGAGGACCGCGGGCGCAGGGCGGGCTGGTGAAGACGCGGGGGCCGGCGGGGTGCGCGCGCGCGGACCGGGGTACCCGGAGGGGCAAGT